TGACAGTGGTTAGAGAGCACAGTGTCCCTGAAGGGAGGGAGGCCTGAGCAGCGCTGAGGTCATGGCAGCTCCAGAGGCCTTTGTCTCCCCTGAGGAGAGAGAACAGACCCACTGGAACCCACTGGGAATACAGGGATGCTGGGTAGCCACTGCCATCTCTGCACCACCTCCTCATCTCCTGCTCCCACCTCCCTCCCCAGGGAAGAACAGCTTTGCCTGAGGCTTTACGAGTAGCTGGCAGTGTCATCTTCTGGACAAGAGTGCGTTTTTTTCTTGTATTCTTGTCAGACAGACAAAGTGCGTCACTCAGGGGTCTCTGCTGTTCAGTTACTACTTCTCTGCTGCACTTGTCGAGGAGGTGAAATTCCTGCTTCCTCCACCACTGGCTGCAGGAGAGGCCTTCTGGCTACAGGCCCTGAGAAAAACACAGGGGCCTCTTCAAAGGAGAGTTTACACTGAGCAGCTGGAGTTTCAGTTACGAAGATCAGGTCAGAGGAGACTGAAAAGACAGAAGAAAGACAGGAAAAGAGGAGAGAAACAGGCATAATGATTTCTACATCCTTTTATGTCACCACAAAGATGACACAACTTTACCTATTCACACTGCATTTTTAAAAAAATGAAATAAAATGTAGTGCCACTGCATGCTGGCTTCAGGAGACTGAGGAGATGCCAATTAAAGCAGCCACAAGGGCTTGAGTGGAACAGCCAGGTGAGCAGCAGAATCTACTGCTGGGGATCCTGCTGGACAAGCTCTGGTGTCAGTGTGACCGTGGCTGTTAAATGGTTCCAACTCAGGACATAGGGAAATAAAAACTCATCTCTTGAAGGGTAGAAAAGAGCAAGGATGAGATGCTGACCTTCAACACAGTAACTTGAATGGTTAGGAAAAATTAGTAGCTTAAGAAGAGTCTTAAAATACGTGAAAGAAACCATGGCATGGGAGGGAGAATAGAGAGGAAAAAAGAGTAACCTGTAAGATTAAAAATGATGGTTAGAAAATGGAGGGAGCAAGGCACTGAGAATAAACAGGATTAGGAGAGATAGTGAAGGTTATAAATGTATTTGATGCTACTGCTTCTTTCTGGCTTTACAGCTGCCCCAGGTGGAATAAAAAATTAATCAGGCAGGTCAGCGGGGGGAGGTGGACTGGATGTTCCTCACAGGTCCCATACAACCCCAACCATTCTGTGATTCTGTGGAGATCAAAAGAAAAATGAACAGGGGATGGGGGGAGAATAACTTCCTTATCTGAATAAAATTTGAGATTATAATTAAGCCTCTACCTGTAATCAGCTCCATCCCCAGCCTAGCCTGTTCTAGGGGAAACACTGGGATGCCCAGTTTACATGGGTACTGCACCACAGCAAATCACACCTGAACATACTCAAGATTTTCCATGTGGAAATGTTATTTTCAAAAATGGCTCCAGAGCTGCAGAAATAAAGTGCATTTCTGGGGAACTGCCAAGATGCTGAATAATGTGACATTTGTAACAGTAATGAGGACCCCACTTTGCTTCTGAACAAAAGGGACTGTTCAAAAAGTCTACCATGAATATTATTTCCATACATTTATGTAGAACACAACCCCACCCCACATTAGCACTGTGTCAGAGGAAAAATTAAATATTCAAGACAAGAAATACAAAGCTAAAGATGAAACACAGATTTAAACCATGATAGATTTAAGTTGGACTCATCTTCAATTATTTGGCACTGCACTTCTCTAATTGTATACAGGCTGCATTTACTCTGGGGCCTGTGTTGTCTTCAAGGGTTTCTTCTGGCAAAGCTGAGACAACTGGAGAGAAACAACTGCTGCCTCTTGTCTGCCAGGAAACCACGTCCTGAGCACGTGGGCTTGGCCTGCAAGGAGCACAAGGAAAGCTCTCTGCAGATGGGATTTCAGAGCTGCTTTCAGCCAGCCAAGCCCTTGGGAAGCCCTGAGCAACCTTACAAAGGATAAATCCCTGTTTTGTCAAGACAGAGCAGTTTTTATTACTCCAAGGAGGCACTGTCAGTTCTTCTCTATGACAACAAAAGGGTGAGTCTGATCCCATGACCAGAACAGTATTCCTCCAATATGTCATCATTCTGAGATGTTAAAAAACCAGGCTGTCTAAAAGCCATCATTTAGTGGCTGTAAGCTTGTAAAGGAAATTCCAGTGTGTGTTATAGTATGTAAAAAAAATATGTGCCAAAGGAGCCAGGTTAGCTGGGCTCTGGTATCTTCTAAATGTGGTCTATAAACTACACATGTTGTGTGAGTGATGGGGTACCTGGAGGAGGGATGGGGTAGCTGACATTTTTTGGTGGAGATAAAACACGTGGCCTGCTGCCACCCAGCCTGGGGCTTTCGCCACCACAGAAGTCAACCTGACCTCCAGAGTGAATGCTTTTCCTCTCAAAGCCAGCCTCACATCTGGCTGTTCCCTGTTTCTTTGCCATAGGGCAGTGCCTGCAGCCCCACCAGCCCTCAGGGCTGGTCCCATCAGCTGGTCACAATCCTGCCTGCTTCCGTCTGTTCCTTATCTTTCTTTTTGCTGGAATATCCTGGTTTCCTTTCCTGAGCTAGCACAGTGGATAGCCAGAGACACCTTGCACATCTGAACAGCGCTCCATGGACCCGACTGCTGGTTTGGGCTGTCCTGATATCTGACTATCTGCTGCCAAAACTCTGGCAAACTTACTGTTTGAATTTATCATTATTTCTAGCAAAAATGATGTTGAACATCTAATTTCACTCAACAAGCTTCCTATTCAAAAGCTAAATTTTGCTGTGAAATACTGACTCCCCATGGGGTGGACAATCTCCTTCCCTATCACTTGGGTACTGTTTCAGCTCAGGTTTTAAGCCTGTACACATAAAATTCCATAAGGTCTCACACCACAATCCCTGCGCTGGTCCTGCTGCCACACTGCTGCTGATCCAGGCCAGGTCCCCTGGCCCTGTGCCCACCTGGCCTGGTGCCCCGCGGCTGTCTCAGCACCCCAGGGCCTTTCCCTCCGGGCAGCTCTCCAGCCCAAGGGCTGCACGGCAGCGGGCGAGCGCATCCCTGAGGCTCAGGGACAAGCACGGCTCCGGAGGGCTCCGGACAGCAGCTGAGTGACCATGATGCACATATCCTCAACTCATGAGTAAAGTCTTTCCTGACACACTCAGGACAGGCTGCCCCTACCCTGGCACCAGCCGATAATGCAAACTGCAGCCCTAATGATTACTGGATTCACACCGCAAATAGCTTAAAACGAAATCAAAGCGCTTTTTTACCCAAAAGAAATCCCCGATAGTGAAACACAATTAGGGCACTGGAAGTCTAACGTGACAAGTTCTGGTCTCTAAGGTGCTGTGCCTGAATGACGCTAAACCCATTTCACTCTCGGCTCTGCAGTTCCCCCATTCCGGCACGGCTGTATCCCCGTCTCCCCTCGATGTTGTCTCCCTCTCTCCTTGGTTGTTTTCCCCTCGGCTGCTGTTCCC